TCATTTTCATTTTTACCATTCCAATATGTCCTTGTTGTATCATGTCTAACACGTTGTTAGTTCCCCAAAGTAAACAACCTCTCTTTGTTGTGATTACCTCCCTCCTTTGGCTATACTCCTTTATACATGCATCATAGTTTATTGGCCATCCGTCTATTGTATACCTATATACTTTAGAGAGTACAACATCTCGCATTGTTTCTTTCGTAATTATGTAATAATCTAATATCGTAGTTATGTAATAATCTAATATTTTATTTTAATCATGTCTTTATGTGTTATTTCTCTCCTTTTATATATCCTTTTGTAATTATGAGAGGTAGTTCTAATGTTCGTTCCTTATATTGTACTTTTACTATAGTCATACCTAATATTTGTATATTGGTTGCTGTATAGCTTTTAAATTTTAGCATGCAATTTGTTAATTTAGGACATTTATTTTTCCAATCTATTTCGTTTATTATGCTTACCCCAGCTCCAGTGTCTAATTCCATTCTGATATCGCTGTTGTTTATTTATATCCATCCACAATTCAGGATTATATTCATCTGCTGTATTAATTTTATTAATAATTTCTTTTCTGCTGACTCGAACAGTGTCCCCAATTTTGTTGCATTTATAACAAGTGGGATTCTTGAAAAGACAATTTTCCCTTCTATGGTTTCTGCCGCAGGAGTGGTAGGAATTTTATTTCATACCTCGTATTATAATTATTATATGATTTTGATTGTTTATCATTATTAACTTTTTTAATTATATTTATATTATCATTATGTTCCTCCTTAGTTTCATCATTTTGTATTCTTCTTCTCCGTTTTATGGCGATTTCCAGGTTTATCCAGGTAGGCCAGTATTCCCTCTGATTTTTTCCCCCATTTTTGACGGTCCTTAGCATTAATATTTGTAAGATTCATTTTTCTCATATCCGCCTCTATCACATTTATCCACATAATCTTGGGCCTTCCTTTAGTCTCGATCCTCCTACTTCCATCAAAGTGCATCTCTTTACCCAGTCATCTTTTGTCTTACATTCCACATGCCCAAACCATCTTAGTCTATTTCTTCGCATTATCACTCCAATCATTTCTATACCTAATCTTGCTCCCAATTCCTTGCTAGTTTTTCTCTTTCTCAGAAATACCCCACACATCCATCTAATCGTCCTCATCTCTGTTCTTTCTAATTGCTTCGTGGGTCGATTTCATTGCCCATGTTTCGGCGCCATAAACTAAACAACTCCTCTCACAGCTTATGTAAACTTTCCCCTTTAACTTCAGAGAGACTTTTTTATTTGTTAGAATAGACGACATCTCTCTGAATTCCATGCTTGTCTGACCCTTGCAACCACGGCAGAATCTACACCACCATCTGCGTTTAGCATATCACCCAAATAACAAAACTTATCCACTTTTACTAGGGTTAGCCTATTGCCAATATCCAAATTATTTATCTTAATAATGGATGTGGTGGCTAGAGAAATACGTGAAGGACTTCCCTGGGAGCTATTATATACAGATGACCTTGTATTAATGACAAACAGTGAGGAAGAATTGAGGGATAAAATTAGTAAATGGAGTATGGCTATGGAAGCAAAGGGTCTGAGAATGAATATAGCAAAGACAAAGGAGATGATTGGTGGGGAAAATCTAAAGATGGAGGAATCCGGTAAGTGGCCTTGTGGTGTATGTGGGAAAGGAGTTGCTAGAAATTCAATCCAATGCACCAGATGCCATAAATGAGTACATAATAGATGTAGCGGGAAAATAGGAAGTTTGATGTTATCAAGAATTTGTAGATCGTGCATGAAAGGGGTACATAATAATGATAACGTAGAAATGGACTCAGCACGGATTTTTGATGAAGTCCTACCTTCACTTCAAAGCTTTCACTATCACCATAATCCGTCCGTACTGCTGTTTGTGCTCCCACATACATTGCCATCACTGCGATAACCAACCATTCCTCCACACCTGATTTTCTCAAGGCCCATCTAGTAACCTCACGCAGCACCCTGTCAAATGCTTTCTCCAAGTTAACAAACGCGTAATACAATCCTGTATTTGTCTCACCACAAAAATGGCATCTGTTGTGCATTTCCCCGATGTAAAACCAAACTGCATTTCATCAATTTTAGTTTGTTTCCTTATCCACTTCTCTAACACCCTCTCATATCAAATTCATTGCATGTTCCAAGAGTTTAATAGCTCTGTAAGACCCGCAATCTAAAGGATCACCTTTTCCCTTGTATACTGGGATACTTCTTTGCCAGTCCTTGGGAATTGTTCCTTTTGTGACATTGCCAAATTCATTAACCATTCAATCCCTAAGTCATCAGAACCTTTAAACATTTCTGATACCACCATCGTTAAATCCGATGCCTTCCCTTTTTTCATCTTTTTCACTGTTCTCTTTATTTCATCCTTGCCAAATTTACACCCTAGACCTTCTGCCTTTGCACAACTAACATTATTATCCCATTCATTTTCTTTGTTCAAAACTCCTTCCATGTAGATCTTCCAGGTGTTCTTAATACCATTACTATCAATCACCATTTTTCCTTCAATATTTTTCAAACACTTAACATCTACCATATCTTGCCTCTTTTTTGCCATCTGCTTTGCCATTCGAACCACATTTCCCATTCCTTCAGCGCATTCCATTTCTTTAGCCCTGCCTTTTTTCTTCTTGCGCCTTCGCTATTAATTTCTTAGCATTTCTTTTCGCTATCTTGTAAATATTATTACTATTATCTTTACTATTATACCATTCTTTGACGCACCTGCGTTTCTCATCCACAGCTTTCGCTACCTCCGGGTTCCACCACCAAGTCTCCTTATGTATAGGCGGCCCTTTTGTCCAGCCACATACCTCCTCAGTTGTCATCACTTAGGCTTTCTTCATGGTTTCCCACTTGCATTTACCCCAGATGCTTGTGCCACCCCCAATGTCATATTGAATTGTCGTCTTGCACTCTCCTCCTTCAATTTCCAGACCTTCAGTCTTGGCACAAACTTTCTTTTAGTGATCCTGGTGCCTTTAAAAATAAGATCTCCTATAACTAGTCGATGCTGATTAATACATTCCTCTCCTGTTATCACTTTCACATTTTTTAGTATACATCTATCACATCTCCTTAAGAACATATAATCCACCGCACTTTTGGTACTAACCAACTTTTAAGTCACAAGCTTCTCTGATTCTTTCTTAAACAAACATTGTATTACAGACAATCATATCCATAGTAGAATCACTTAAAATTCTCTCCCCTTCCAGATTTCTTATGCCGTAACTGTACCCTCCATATACTTCTTCATAACCCTCACTACTCGCTCCTACATGTCCATTCAGATCACCAGCCAGGATAATCCCCTCTTCATTTGCCAGTCTCGATGTCACCCCCAATAGACTGTACCAAAATATATCTTTCACTTCTTCCAACCTAGGAACATATGCCGAGATAATATATAGCTTTCTACCAAAATCATCTTGATAACCATTATCTGGTTATCTAGCCTTCTCACTTCGACTACTTTGTCTACCAATTTCTCTGCAACCGATACCCCAACTCCAGCCTTACTATCATTACTTCCTTGCCAAATGAATTTATACTTTTCACTAGTATAGCCAATCATTCTTGCACCATTTCCTTTACATCTGGTCTTGTATGCAGCAATGCCTTCAATGCAATACATCGACCACTTCCCATGTCGCGACCCTTATTCGATCCCCCTTAAACTGGTTTCAATATCATTTATTTTAAATAGAATAATTTTCACAATATAAATATAATTTTAACTTTAATTTTTCCGAGGCCTAAAAGTACTAAACTTTTATATTCCTGAAATGGGGTTTTCCTTGGAATTAATAATTTTTATATTTTCATCCACATGTAGAGCCCTGCATAATGATCTTTTCGCGGCCCGAGTTCGACATGAGGAATTTTAAAAAAATTGGTGTCAGAGCCCAACTTAAATTGGGCACAAATTTTTTGTTTCATCCCAACCAGAGCTCTTGGAATTTTAGTTTTAATTTTATATCTAAAGTAGAAATTAAAAATTATGTTTATTTATTCACATAAAATTGTTAATTTGGGAAATGGAAATTACTTTAATGAATAAGTAAAATGTGATCGCTATTGTGTATATTTAATTTGATCCCTTTTTTTCTCTATATTTATTAATTTATATTTTTATTAATATTTGATATTGGCTTATTTTATTTTTCTTTTTTAAATTTTATTTTTTTAAAATATAAAATCACAACAAATTTAATTTTAAAATTAACTGCAAAACGAATAAGAATTATATAAACAATAAATTTGAATCATGTATATTAGTGATCTGCATCGGGCCTAATTTTTCAAGCCCTGCCCGACCCAAAATTTTTTTATAAAGTTTTGCCCAGCCTGGCCCGAACCCGAAAATTTTTTAAAAAAATTTTGCTGGCCCGGTCCAGCCCGAATTTATATAAATATGGAAATTAATTCTTATAATTATTCAAAATAAACGATATATGTTATATGGCGTTTACTTTCTATAAATAAAATCACATATTTTTATTTTACATAAAAAATTCAACATAAAATAGATAAATTTAGATAAATTTTAAAATTTTTTTTAGGCCGGACTAGGCCCGGCTCGAACTTAAAAAATATTAGGCCCGATCCGAATCCCGTTTGGGCCGGGTACGGGCCGAGTCTACTTTTGCAGATCTCTAATGTATATTATTAAACTATAATGTTTACTAATATACTATTTATATGCTAGTTATCATAAAAAATGCAAAGGTTATAAGTAAAATTTATAAATAAAAATTATGTTTTTATCTCAATCTGTTTCAAATACTTCGAATGTGCCGATAAAAAGTATGCAACATTAACCAAAAAAATTTTTTGTTGCTCGTGCCCTATTAAAAATTCGATCTGGATAAGGACATGTTTTAATATGGGAAAGAGTCCAATTTAAATTTCTATATAACTTCTTTTTTTTATTATATATAAGATGCAACATCGACTCCTACTCGGATTCGAGCCATTGAAATAACAAAATGTGGTTGCATTATTGTGTGGCTGGCTAGCGATACCAATATGCATCACACAATTTTCGTAAATAATATTCAGGTCAAAACCTTGAAACCTGGCATCTTATACTATCGGCTAAAAGGTCCTATATTATTTTAAACCATTTATTTTTCATAAAAACTAGTTCTAAGTGAATTGCAAATAAAACTAAAGAAAATATAAAAATTTTTTTTAATTACATAATAAAGGTTTATCCCCATCCACACCATACAGAGTTAAAGTTAGGGCGAGTTCTTTACACAAAATAAATCCATATCGATCTTCTTCCGCCGACGCCACTCTTTTTGAATTTCGATCTATCAATGAGGCAGCGATCGAATTTAAGACACTCCCCGGAAGTTTTTTATTTTTAAATTTTATATGCCAACATGAAATTTTTTTTGTAATAAATTGAAAAATACATTTTCAAATAATCAGCTGATTTTCAAAATTCCTATTGGATAGTGAATATATAACAATTACATATTACATAGGCTAACCTAAAATTTGAGTTTTCAGATTATTGCTAGTTCAATAACAATTTTTTTGATATTTTTTATAACCTTCGTAATATCTCTATTGAGACTCTTATGAAATTTCAACCATAATATAAGACTGAGTTCTAAATCGGAAATTTCTTTATGGTCGCGTCTAGATATTAGTTCTATATTTAATTTAAATAAACAATATTTAAGAATTATAGATATGAATTAAATAAAGACCATTTTTAACCGGGGTTTAAAGTATGTTTGAAATTTGTCATATATCAAAAATATAAAATAGGTACAATAGTTTAACTCATATTTAACAACGAACATGATTTATATTTGGTGCAATTTAAAAGTATTTAATGTTTTCTGAATATAGATTAAACAATTAAAATCTTTATTTTGAATAAAATTCTATTTTTCTCATTTATAAAAGAAATGCCCAAGCCTCCTACAAATTTAGTAATAGAACCGGGTCCACAAGATGGTGCCTTTTTACTTAGTTGGAACCCCGTTCCTTTAGAGACCGAATTACAGTTTAAATTTGATCTACAAGATGATGCTGAGTGCGCCATCGAAGGTTACAAAGTATACTTTGACGGGATTAAAGTAGCAGAAATTCAAACTCCTTTAGGTATTTATTTTTTCCCCAATCCTTTATATTATAATTCCATTCTTTTTTCCTTTTTTAAAGAAGAAGAATTTTTGATCAAATTTTACCTAAAAATGTTAAATATTTATTGTAAAAAATCTTTTATGTAAATAATTTGTAAGGGGTGTTATTTAATTTTTTAAAAAATTATTCTAGGAGTTATTTACCATGCATAAAATTTTTGTAGATTTTTTTCAAGCTATATATAGAATATATGTAACCATAGTTGGTTGATCTTGTGCCATGGTAATTCATTATAATTCATTTTCTTATATAATTAATTTTGATGAAAAATGCTTAATATTTGCAAGCATTAATTTATATTTTTGGCTGAAATGGAAAAATAATGAGTTTTACTGACGATAACTTCTGCTCTACGATCTTACATTCAGAATATAAATCTAAATTGTAAATATTCAATCATTTTTTTTAAATAACCAAAAATGGTAAATCCGCAAGCTGCTTGTGCACTCTGCCATCAAATCATAAGGGCCACAATCAAACCACCTGTAATTTTCTAAAACATATGGTATATTTAAACAGTAACTTTTTGTTTTTAAACTTGTTCCTTTAGAGAAAAATCCTTCTATGTTGACACAATATGATTATTTAAAGCGAAATTGAAAAAGTAAATATTTATCAATCAGCTTCACCAATTTTTTTTAAAGTCATCCAAAATATATTGCATCTTTTAATACACATTCACTTTCCAATTTAAATTATTTATAAAGTATTTTTATTTTATATAAAATATAATTCTTAAATAATAATTAAAAATTGATTGATTACCTTAAAATAAATCTAGAAAAATAATTCCCCAGAAAAAAAATCCCCGTTTTTTAAGATATTAAAAATGACAAAATTAATATAATAGGAGAAATAATTCTATATAAATATATCCACTAAATAAAAATCCTCAAATAAAATATTTAAAAATTGCAAAATTAATAAAATAAGATAAATTATTCCCTATAAATATATCCACGAAATAAAAATCCTCAAATAAAATATTTAAAAATTTTTAGAACCGGGGAATTATTTTCTAAGAATTATTATTGGAGATTTTTTTCCGGGGAATTATTTTCCGCTTACCCTAAAATACATATGTATAAAATAAATTCCACTAAGCTTGTTCTTAATACTTAAAATTAAGATTTCTGCAGATGTACCATTTGCGCAATCCATCTCGAGTTTTATATGTTCAGGCCCAGCCCGTATTTTTATTTAAAAGAAATTTCGGCTGCGCGGATTTTTTTAAAAAGAATTTTTATAAAGATTTCTTTAAAAAAAAAAAATTCAGCCAGTATAAATTATTTCTATGGTCTTGGTTTTTTTAAAAAAAATAGATATTTATTCTGCATTTTAAGGATCGTCAGCCAATATAAAAATATAATTACTTTTCAAATTATCTAATCTCCCCATATGTCGTGAAAACTTAACCCAAAAATTATACTAACCACATAATATGGATATACCTAGCTTAAATGGTGTTGTTTAAAAATATTTTGGAAGAGGTTGGCAGCCATTTAATTTATAATTACGGTCTCTTTCTTAAATTATTATTATAGGCTACATTCTTATAAAATAAATTATTTTATTCGATATGATTATTTAATTTTAATTTTAATTGATCATTCATAAATAAAATGTATTAAAACCTCAATAATTTCAGCAATAAATGAAATACACATCAAAATTTTTATTTAATAACCTATAATCAGGTCTACAAAATACGAATCAAATCGAATAATAGTATTATTCGTATTCGATTAGAATTTTCGAATCAAATAATTGCGTTATTCGTATTCGTATGAATCGAAAAATTTATTATTCATATTCATACAAATAATAAAATCATTATTCGATTCGATTCAAAATTTTTTCTAAAGCTTATAAAAATTATAAACAGATGTAATGTTTTAAGATGGCACTTTTAAGCAGGGTTGGCAAGTGGATCAATTGACCTGTTAAATTTAGTCAATTGACCGTTCAAATTCAGTCAATTGACCAGAGGTATTTGACCTGGTCAAATATTGTCAAATGTTCTAAAAAAATCTAAAGAAAAAAAAATTAAAAATATGTTTGAAACAGGAAAAAACTATATAACATGTGATCACAATGTTGCTTATTTTTTGGGTCACCAATATCTAGAGGAGCATCTCACTAGTAGTGAATTCAATGAAGTATATGATTTAGCCATTTTATAAGGTTGTGATGACCAAAATATTTTAAGTGATATAATTAATTTCAGAAGCAAAATCAGCATGTTTAATAACAAATTATGTGGAAAACAGTAATTTCCATAAGAAACAATCAATTCCGACCTCAAGTTACTAGATTAAACTTTGCCATCATGCCCATTAAGAGACTAACAATTCCTAGTTCTTCTAAAGAAATAGTCGATTTGGGTTAAAATTCTTTTGAAAATAGACAATAAACAAAATGAAGAAAACAAATGGAAATATGATGAAAGATAGGGCTTTCCCTACAAGCGACGCGCAGGGTTTAGACCTCAATCCTGTGAAAAATAAAGTAAAGGTCAAAGCAAAGAAAACAAGATTAGCAAGTTTGAATATTGGGACGCTTAAAGGTAAGACGAGAGAATTGGCATCAATGTTGAACAAGAGAAAAGTTGATATAGCGTGCATACAAGAGACGAAATGGAAAGGACAGAAGACTTTGATGATTGGAGATGGGTATAAATTGTACTATAATGGACTTGTTAGCAATAGGAACGGTGTCAGCATCATCCTCAGTCAAGATCTAACCTCCTCAGTTGTAGAAGTCAACAGGATCTCTGATAGACTAATGAAGATAAAACTCTGCATTGGTCAATCAATACTACACATCCTTTCATTATATGCTCTTCAAACGGGTTGCAAGGAAGAAGAGAAAGATGATTTTAGAGCTATCCTCGATGAAGCTGTAATGGAAATCCCTAAGGATGACCTAGTCATAATTGGTGGTGACTTAAATGCGCATGTGGGGAAAGCAAGAGATAGCTACAAAAGGCATCATGGTGGTTTTGGATATGGAGAAAGAAATGATGAAGGAGAGCATATACTGAAATTTGCGCAAGCCTTCGACCTTGCCTTAACCAACACCTACTATAGGAAAAAGGATAGTCATTTAATAACATACGAAAGTTGTACAAGAAAAACACAGATAGATTACATACTAATCTCTCGCAGAAGATTAAAAGATGTAATAGACTGCAAAGTCATCCCAGGAGAAGATATCGCCGCACAACACAAGCTACTAGTCATGGATTTACACATCTCAAATAAATCCACTCAAAACAAGATAAAACTGGAACCATGCATCAAATGGGGCAAATTAAAAACAATGACAGATGCCTTTGCAATCAATGCAAACATTGAAACAATAGATTCCTCACAAGTCAGTGAAAAAATGTGGACAGACCTTTCATCCAGATTAATAGACACTGCCAAATCGACACTAGGCTTGACAAGAGGAGGCAACAAATCATACAAAGAACTATGGTGGTGGAATGAAGAGGTACAAACCACTATACAGGAGAAAAAAGCCCTTTATAAAATATGGTACAAATCCAAAAACGCAGATGACAAGACAAGATACAAAAAATCTAAGAGATTAGCTACAAAGACGGTGGCTAGAGCCAAATCTATGGCATACGATGACATGTACGAAGATCTACATACCAAAGAAGGCCAAAATAAAATATACAGATTAGCCAAACAGCGAGAAAAGAACTCTAGGGATATAAACGGAGCTCCGAAAGTAATCAAAAATAAAGATGGGAAATTGATAATAAAGGAAAAAGAAATAATGAGTAGATGGAGAGAATATTTTCAGGAGCTTCTCAACTTTAATCCGCACATACTGCATCTAGACGAACACTCCCCTTGTCAAAACCTTGTACAACCTATAACACAACAAGAAATAATCACATGCCTCAAGCATATGAAAAACAACAAAGCTAGGGGTCCTGACGATATTCCAATAGAAAGCCTTAAAGCACTAGGAGATGATGGAATACATCTCCTCACAAATCTATACAAAGATACTTGGAAATGAATAGGTTCCCCAAAAATGGAGGCAAAGCTATCTAGTTCCTATCTTCAAAAATAAAGGGGATCCACATAATTGTCAAAATTACAGGGGCATAAAACTAATGTCACACTGTCTAAAACTATACGAAAAAATAATAGAAAAAAGATTAAGAGATATAATCGAAATAGGAGAGACTCAGTTTGGCTTTATGCCTGGAAGATCAACAACCGATGCTATCCACGCAATTAGGCAAATGATTGAAAAATACAGGGAAAAGAACAAAAAGCTACACATGGTCTTTCTCGATCTAGAAAAGGCCTTTGATAGAATCCCAAGAAAACTTATCAGGTGGGCGCTACGCCATAAAAATGTTGCCGAAAAATATATAAGAATAATACAGGATATGTATATGGGCCATACAACAATGGTCCGTAGCATAACAGGTACTTCAGCAGGCTTCACAATAGCCGAAGGAGTTCATCAAGGGTCGGCTCTCAGCCCACTTCTCTTCATTACAGTAATAGATGTATTAGCACAGTCTATTATACCTCAAACAGTCCCGTGGAATATGATATTTGCAGATGATATTGTGATACTTGCCGAATCTAAGGATGAAATGAAAGAAAGACTAGTGAGTTGGATAAATATCCTAGAAACGCACGGATTAAAAGTAAATAGAGAAAAGACGGAGTATATGGTGATAGGAGGAGATGAAACAGATAGTATTGATATAAATGGCAGATATCGGCAATTGAAAGCTGCAAATATTTGGGCTCCACTATACAAACAAACGGCACAATAGAAAAAGAGATAAAGAGTAAGATTAATCAAGGGTGGCTAAAGTGGAGATCTTTATCTGGAGTGCTATTTGATAAAAGAATCCCACACAAATTAAAGGGAAAAATTTACAGTTCCATAATACAACCAACTATTCTATATAGTTCAGAAACATGGCCAACCAAAGAATCAAACGAGAGAAGTCTACAAACCATGGAGATGAGAATGCTGAGGATGATTGCTGGGGTAACAAGAAAGGATAAAGTGTGCAGTACAAGAATACTAAGTAGTTTAAAGGTAGTGCCCATTAAGACTAAGTTAATGTTAAACAGACTTAGGTGGTATGGGCACACAATGAGAAGGCCTATGAACTACATAGGAAATAAAGTTAAGAGTTAGTGATGGGCAAACGTAAAAGAGGAAGGCCAAAACTTCAATGGGGCCATAAAGTTAGAGCCAATATAAAGAAGTATAAATTAGATAAAAGAGATTGTATTAATAACATAAAGTGGAGAGAGATGTTGAAGGAGCTTACCACCAGAAAAGGTGAAAGCTAAAGAGAAAAAAAAATTTTGGGAGAAAGAAACAAGGGGAGGGATTGGTTATTTATTTTCTAAAATAATAATTTTAAAAAATATACAAAAAATTGGTGGTGCCAGCTAGACGCTAAATTCATTCAAAATTAAAATAAGAAACATAATAATAATATGTGTATTGTGATTTGATTTGTGACTAATAAATTGAATTAATTTAAATGTATTATTTTCCTTTAATTATATTTTTAAAATATAATTGTAGAATTTTTTAGATTAGGAATCCTTTATTTCCAAACAAAGGATATCAATTTTTGGAATTTCGATTAAGTTCATATTAACAAAATTTCCGTTAAATAGAGTTTAAAATTCCTGAACCCGAATTAAATCCTAATTTGGCAATCTAGCAAATATTTTCTCTTAATATTGTACAAAAGTTAAAAATAAAATGTTAAGATCTAAACATGCCCTTTAAGAGAAAATATGATGGTCAAAAATTTTATACGAGTAACCATATTTATTTTTTGCCCCCGCTTCCAAGTCAAACTTATATACACCATTAGGTAGAACTAGACTTATTTGATACCATTCCATCATATCAATATTGGTGCCAATAATAATCCTAACCTACTTAGTAATTGCCATAGAGCGGTGGGGCTTGGTTTGCTAATTATTCACTAGTTCTAATTAGATATCGATTGATGCCTCTAATAATCATATATTTATATACCTTAATAAGGTCAAGAAAAAAACAACTTAAAATATAATGGTTGTGCTTGTGATTTGTGCTCATTGCTAGTTTAGTCGATTTTTAGACTTAAGCCACGGATCTGGGTTTTACACAATTAACCAATAAATAACACTTATATAAGCAATTGAGTTTCATAAAATTTAATAAACTATTTATTGAGTTTACGACTCAAGTTCAAAACTCGAGTCGTAAAAATGATTCTATTTTTTTGACTAAAAACTCAACTTGCATAGTTAAGCCGACTCGGCTGAGTCGTTTAACAACATTAATCATCATATATCTGAGTTACAATTTCATCAATGACCCTTCTCATTTTAATAGCTCTTTCGACCATTATATAAGAGCTATTCCATCTGATGGATGTTTCTAATTTTAAATATTTCACATAGGGGAAGTAGGGAAGAGCATACATTTAGCATAATATTTGTCTTTGTTAAAGAATTACGAAATAACCTTTATGATTGTTCTTAGTTTTGATACTTGCCTGTCTACTTTATTAAGTTGAGTACGTGTGCACATCGTACATGTAAAATTTTACAAGTTGGGTGTTTTATACGAAGAATTTTTATGAAAGTTGAATTAGAGATAGCATTATCACAAGTAATTGCTATGTTACTTATCAATATTATAATTTGAGAAAACTCTATATATATTCAATAGAATGTGAATCAGTATATGGTATTATACTAATAACAACTTCATCTCCCATTTTTCATCTAAAGTGGCAGGTCAACCCTAAAAATGGTATATTAGTAGGGCTTGGCCATATGTCAAAGTTGATTTGGCACTTTACATTTATAATTATAACTTAATTGAATTCTTTATTATAAATTTCATTCATATATTGTTTAATTGAAAGTATTGAACATATTTTTATGTCAGGATTTAAAGCCCTAATAAATGATTTAAATTCATGTGTGGCAAGAAAAATTTTAATAAATAATGTTTAATATCATCAGCATTTGTTTTGGATACATCATTTAAATAGTTTTTTTTATCTTATTATTATTTTGAATTTTTTGATGAAATCTTTTATCATGACTAAAGTGGTAGTTTTTTCTCATTATTTTTACATTACATATTTTACATTTAGCTGTTTCTGTTTTAGAATTATGCAGATAATGATTCATAAAAAGAATTTTTCCGCCTAGCATTAACCGGTTCAGTTTGATCAGATATTGATGTAGATCTAGAACTATTTGAGAATTGACTATGTCCTTCACCATTTCTTCTTACATCAAGATTTTCTAATTGATCTTTGAATATTTTTAAAATTATTTATATCATATAAAATCAAAGTTTACCATCCTTGCTGAAATTCCAGATCAATAATACATTAGCAGCTGAAAAAATATTTAAGACAACTTAAGAAACAGTAAATTAATTAAACATTGGCATAGGCATGGGGGGGCTGTTTTTTAAAAATAACATTATTTTAATTTACTTAACATTTTTATTCCTCTTGTTGATACATTTCTAGATGAATTAGTAAAATCTTAGAGAAAATTAGACCTCTCCAAATCAAAAAATTGCAATATGATTATATTAGTTTTAAATATATATTTATTTTAGTAAAATGAATTCTTAGTTATAACATTTATATAATTTTTATATTAATTCTTAAAATTTATGCAAATACTATTTTTAATCATAGTACTTTGTATTATTTATATTTTGATAATATTTTCATATTTTTTTAAATACCATTATTTGCATAAGAATTACTTATATTTTATGTGATTGTTAAATTACTTTTTGTAAAATAGTTTTTATACAATAAAATTTTTAAAATTATCTGTATAAAATATCTACATTTTGAAATTTATTTTAAATAATATAAATAAATACATGATTAAATAAAGGAATGTTATTTATGCTATTAAAGTATTTTTATATAATAAATAAAATCTATAATGAAATACTCTCTAAAATTTTGTTATATGCAAATATTTAAAATAAATTTAACATTTTGTTTGGTGAGGAAATCCTGGCTAAGTCACTGCAATTAAAACTTCAAAATATCATTATTTTAATTTTGTAGTATATAAATTTTAGACTATTATGTTTTAAAATTGAATATAAAATTATTTAAGATGTAATATTATTTTATTAGAGGTGATTATGACAATGTAATTAATAATGAGGATGAAGATTTTATATGATAGTGATTATGATACTTTATCTCAATTAGTTGATTGTCTTTAAAATTTGCTAATAAGATTACTAAATTGTAAAAGGATTTTTCTAATTAAAGAAAAACTAGTCAAAAAAATTTAGTTATTTATCTGCCAGGAATTTAAGAATATGGGAAAGAGGCACACTCCATAAAAATGTTTTGACTTGTTCATAACACCAAAAATGATTAAAAGAAACCATCAAATAAAATAATTATATTTTAGTTTACTTTGTTGGGGCGTTTCCCTTTCCATAACTTTATCAGAAAATATAAATTATATATGATTTGATAATAGGAAATAAAATTAAACGAAATGATATCCACTAGGAAAATTTAATTACATCTTTTTTATTATACTTACAATAAAATATTTACGAAAAATTACGAATTTATAAATAAATGATTTCGAACACGAATAATTTTCCTTCGTTTTAGGCCTACCTATAATTCTAAATTTTAGTCGACACAAATTGGGCCGTTTAACATCTGAATTAAACAAATTTTATTAGCTAACCTTACTGAGTCTAGAAAAAGGTTAAATATACAGAGAGAAATAAGATTCCTAGGCAAATATCCAGCAATTTTTTTATTTACCAAAAAAAGAATAATATTTTGTACAATTATTTTTTTGTATAATATAATGTAAAAAAACTAAATCATTTAGGTCTCTCAAGGAAAGAAAATTTGAATTTTTATTAATTCGACCAATTATTATTCTTTGTTTGGAAATAAAAAAAAATATGAAAATATGCATAGGAAACTGCTTAGAAAAATGTAAACGGCCTTATACTAATTAAGTTGAATAGTAACACTTTAAATTTAATTATATTATGAAAACTGTAGGCGATCACATTGTACTGGGAATGGAAACGTTCCTTCAAAACGATATTCCAACCTTTATAACGGTCAGATCTGTTTCTGGGGATTTACAATCCCGTGACTCACTTCCCGCCAAATTTTTGGAAAGACCAGAACCTCAAATCACGATTAACGAAAGCACATTGGAAACTTATTCTAATCGAGAAGAAGAAATGGAAAAATACCAAATGCCGCCTTGTGCAATTTCGTACAGCTTTGATACTAGCTCTTGTGGCATCAGTATCGATGAGGAAAATCTTATGCGCGATGTACCATTTAAAAAAAATAGATATATTATTTAGAGCAAGTTTATGTCATGATAGAAATGATAATTTATGTGAGTTGATCGTTTTATTTTCATATTTAGTTGTTAATTCAGTATCCGCTATAAATTTTAGTGCCTTACCTTACATACATATTTATATTTGTTTGTTTGGTTTATACATTCAACCTCCATGTACTAGCATAGGTCTAAACCAGTAGCATCACTAGGAGGGCACAAGGGCTTTAACTCCCTTTTTTTTTAAAAAAAATATAAAAAATACACATAAAAAGTTCATTCAAATGTTAGCTGAAAAAAGGTCATTTTGAAATGCAAACTAAAAAACAGGTGATTTAAAAGCAATAATTTTTAAGCCCCTTGAGATTACTTTAGTATTATAGACCAACAAACCCGGGATTTTGAAAGAGTTAATTACCCCAACGGATCTATTACCATATTCCGATAAAGGCATGCTTAACCAATGAAAATTTAGAAAGACTTTATCGTGGACAAATAATAAAATTTAACAACTTATCCAGGTTCAGATGACAATAATTTTGACTTATTCATGTTTCTATATCATCTAACAATATGAGAAAATTTTTCTAGCGGCCTCATTTGAGGGAGGGGGTTCGTCCTCATGCAGTTCATTTTGCTTTTCCCCAGCCTTCAGCTGGGTCTCTTTTAAAAACTTATTCTTATTAGTTGGTTTTTATTATTCCTAGTATTTTTGCTCGATGGGTTAAAAATTATATCGCAGCTCATTAAATTTAAAAAAGAGGAAAAGACTAGTATGTGATAGATCACATTTTATTTTTAAAATTTTACATATAAAATCATATATTCTGTATTAGTTGATACATACAGAGAGTAAGGCTTATTATGCATATAAATTAGACATTGCATTTTAAAATGAATTAAATGATGATATAATTTTGAAGTTCATAATTCTCTAAATAATTCTTAAGAGAAAATAAACAAGAATTTCTTCAATTTGCGCCAATAATTCTTTTTTCTACAGACATCAATAAAAATGCATCCAATTTAACTTGCCCAATACTTGCCTTAAGTATGTTTTTTTAATCAAAATTACTAAATGTTTTTTACAATTTACCTGCTAAATGATCATGTTAAAGTTAAAAGATATTCTACTGCCTCATGTTGTATGCATAATTTTTTATTATTAAACTTCATGGAATCCCATGATCTAATTGTTTAGATCGTGAATAATAATCTAATATACGAACAATTATATTCCAGGCAACTTTTGAAATATATTCTACATCAAAATCTATTTTTTTTAAATATTAAATATAAGCATCTATATTTCTTCCTTGAATAAAGCACTTTATAATGATCTGAGCTCGCGAAATCTAATTCACCTTTGTACATTTAATCAAGAACAGTAATAAAGTGACAATTTCAAAGATTATTTATACCTTCCTAGCCATGCTAATATTTTAAAAAAGCTACATATACATCGTTTATAATATTATGCTATCTTTTAAGCCTTATTTTTACTCCCCTTCTTCTACCTTACAAAATCAATGATCTTTTTAACTTTTGAACTAAACAAAAGTATTTATGGAAACAGAATATATTTTTCTCCATAATCCATATGATTGCAATTTTTATTGTAAATACACGAGTATTATTGTCATTTATTTAATTTGTTTGCATTTTTAAGAAATTTCTCAGGGAATACAAAAAATTTGAAAATAAAAACCAGTCACAATTACGTTCGGATTCAGAAAATGACGCCAAGTATTGCAATCAAAATTATACGAAGGTAAATACCTAAAAGCATAAACTAAACTATGGCTAAGGTTATACCAGAGAGTTCTAGTGTTTGAGCTTTTCAGAAATTAAATGTTTTATTATATTCACCTATTAATCTAAAATATTTAAATTATTCGCAATTAATACAACTAGTATGCAGGGCGATAAATTTTTTTAATCTGTAAATGCTTGATATAACTTTTGGAATCAATTTTGTAATTCTCGATTTAGCTAGCTATCTTTATCATTATATGCTCGAAAGCTTAAACACTATAACAGTCTGGTATTACCTTATCAATATTCTTTCGAAAAAGGTTTTTTCTCCATATTAATTTGTAAATTCAAGTATCATCCATCATCAGGGCTGGGAAACACAATTTTTTTTGAATATAAAAAAGATTTTGCCCATTTATTATAGAATACCTAATCCAATCGAATATGTTACTTAGCTTCAATCAAGTATAACAAAATTTTACACTTTTGTATTCAAATTTAAGAAGAATATAAATATATTTTCCACCCTTTAAAAGAAATATATTTAATATATGTGATTCTGTCATACAATATTTATTTATTCAATTTACATAATGATTTATGCTGTCGATATGAGTTAGGTAGTTAACCTACACTATTATATTAATCATAAACCTATATATATATATTCATAAACCTATATATATATAATCATATCTAATTGACGATTATAACATATAATATATAATAGAATATTACAATATAATACTACTACTTTACTACATTTCTTCTTTGTTAATTGAGAGACGCCTACATCTTCAATCATTCGTTTTGGCGGTTTATGTGTCCGCTCTCATTTTGGCTCTCATCCCACTTCCTCTGATCACCGCTCGCCATCACCGGTTCCATAGTATCTGCTAACACACGGCCCCTTAACTGGGCAGCATATTTTCGCCGCAGTATACGATCTGGCATCTCTATTATAGGAATATAACCTCTTCTTATCTTGAATTATTCTTTCTCTCCAACCCTTAGTGGTTTCGTTCCTTATCCATACATGTTGACCAACGTCAAATTCCCTAACACTGGAATATGTCTCATGTTCTACTTTGCTTATTGGATTTATTTATCTCATTTTCTACTTCTAATCTGGTCCAATTTAGACTAGTTCTTATTAGATGACCATACATAATCTTCGCTTGCGACCTACCCATCGAGTTCTCACAGCATATACGCTGTTACCGTTTGAGTCATTGCTTCTTGTGGATCAGTAATTGATTCTTGACTGACATAATACCTTCCTTTCAAGGTCCGAATGGTTCGTTCTGCCTGCCTATTTGTCTTTGGGTGGTATGGCGTTGAACGAATGTGGCAATTGTTGTTTTTCTCACAATATAGCTTATATTCTGTAGAAATAAATTGGTCCATTGTCAGTTAAAATACTTTTAAGTACCCCAAAGGTAGTAAATTACTTTTAAATCTCGTTATCATCTCCTTCCCGATGCGTTTCTCATCAGGTCTACCGCCCATTTTGAATATGAATCTATTTCCACTAGCCATAGAGTCAACCGGTCTTGCAAAATCTAGATTTATACGATCTCATGGCTCTTTGGTAATATTTCATGAGTATAGGTCGTTTTTGACACCCAACACAAAGCTTTATATACCGTTCGATGTCCTCTTCACACTTAGGTCACCAACAATACAACCGAAAAATAGATTTCATCGCGTTTATTCCAGGATGTCCGATGTAGTGTCTCCAACACTGCATTCCTAAGTTTAGTTGGGATCAATTTGCCATTCCGTTCTACTATTCTTCTGTCCATTAATTCTTCTCACTGGGTATGGAAAATTATTAGCTCCTATTCTTCCTTCCTATTAAAACCTCTCTAACCTTGTTCAATATGTCATACCACTTGTTTTAGTATTGGATCTTGTACCGAATTCTTGCAGAGGTTTCCCTCTGAAACCTGCATATCCTCTAAATTGATATTACGAATCACCAATACGTGTTTTGTATCTCGATTCGTTATGATATCGTACAAGTAATCTAGATAAGCCGTTAGCTACAAGATTCTCACGATCCGGTCTGTATTCCACCTTAAAATCATACGCGACTATATTCCAAGCCCAACGAGCCAGGTGTTTGTTTGATATTTTGGGGTCATCCCTCTTTTCTCCGAACAACCGTTCCAAAGGCTTATGTTCTGTACAAATCTTCGGCTGTAAATAAAATTATGGAATTATTCTATTTTGAACAGCAGAGCCCTCCCTTCCCAATTGGCGCATACAGTTTTTCAAACTGCAACAACGTCTGAGATATAAAAGCGATGGGTTTTTCCTGGTTGATGAAGTAATACTACTCCAAGCCCGGTAGCTGAAGCATCACACTCCATAAACGGCAATTTAGCGTTGTACGGCGTTAACATTTCTTCTGCTAATAACAGTGTCTTAATTTTGTTGAAAACCTATATTGTAATCTTTTAAATACATTTCTAACCTTTTCAATCTCTTTAAGTCCTTTTTAATCTTTATTTTTCTGATCTTTTCATAATTTTTTTTCTTCTCATTTTTGATAATTCTTTTTTGTAATTATTTTTATTTTTCACTTATAATTTTTATTAATCAATGGCAGAAAATTTTTTTATTTTTTACATATCAAATTATTTAAATACAATTGCTGAATTAAATCGTTTGGTTATAATGTACCTTTTTAAAATTAAATAAGTTTGAACTGTAATACTAAACGATATGAAAATCAATAAAATATAATCATTTTTTAAATTTTTAAATTTTATTGTCTGCGAGAAATAAAAATTAAGTGAAAATTAAAAATAATTACAAAAATGAATTATCAAAAATGAGAAGAAAAAAAAATTGATAAAAGATCAGAAAAATAAAGAATAAAAATGACTTAAAAGATTGAAGTTTGAAATGTATGTAAAAGATTACAATATATGGAGAAAAAATCATAAAAAGTCAAAATATTGTTATGTATGACGAAAAAAAAGTAAAGAATTGTTTTAAAAAAATGGAGTAGAGAAGTGAATAAAAATAACAGGGAAAATTTATAAATTATTGAAAAAAAGACAAGAATTATCAAAAATGTGAAAAATAAATTGTAGTAAGAAAAATAATGAAAATAAACAAAAATTTAAGAAAAATTGACAAGAAAAAATTTTTAAAAATAGCAATTTTCCTTTTTGATTGACACTTTTCCTTTCCTTTTAGGAATTTTGCTTTTTAGATTGGACCTTTTCCTTTTTTGTTTGACACTTTTCCTTTTTTGATTGAACCTTTTCTTTTTTTATACACTTTTCCTTTTTTGATCGGGCTTTTTCCCAAGTCTTTGGGATTTTCCTTTTTTTGATTGACACTTTTACTTTTTTGATTGAACCTTTTCCTTTTTTTATCGGACCTTTTCCTTTTATTATTGAAATTTTTACTTTTAAATTGGGACTTTTCCTTTTTTGGGGAAACCATGCATATATTTATAAGATAATGAATATATTAACATAAGAAAATCATCTTGGAAGCAGGTTTTGAGAGCAAAGAAATCTGGAACACAAAAGTTCCATGCTTTTATCCTAGGAGAAAACAAAAGATTCAAATTCTTTGGATTATTTTATATATGATATATTTTAAATATAAAATTTTAATTGTATTTATATGTAATTATGCAATTTGAGGCAAATAAAGTTATAAATATGTTTAGAATTAAATTTCAAGTAATTTCGAAACAAAATTTATCCAAAATGTTAAACAAAGCATATTATCCCAGCCACCTCTCAAAAAATTAGTTAAAGATAAAATAAAAGTAAGACCTATCATTTAGATATAATTTTTAAATAAGCATTATTTCATAACTTTTCATAAATTTAAATATAATGATGTTTATGTTAAATTTGTTCAATTTAGCCATATAAAGAGTCATAACTCCTAAAGCCATTTATTCCAGGCTAGGAATTTGTACAAATATAAGGCAGTGTGATATCTATCTATAGTAATTTCTATTTTATACATTCGGTTTTCGACATTAATCAGATTTCTATTGTATTTGTTTTTATGTCATATTAAAGAACTATTACTAAGCTATATGATAAAATTTAAATCATGCATAATTATTTCTCGAGATATTTAAAAATAAATATTTATTCATTTTGTTAAAAATGTACCATTTTTCTGCGCTTTAAACGTCCATATCTTGGCTGGTAAGGTGTTGGGAGGTAAAATAAAATTTTATTTTTTTCTTAGTTATAGTATTACTATCAGTATGCAAAATTTAAGAAAAATTGAAAGGGGTCGATTTGAGAATTGACTTTTATGTCGATTTGATATGGAATTCACCATATCTATAATTGACGAATATAGCACATAATAATTTTCTAAAATCAAGCAATTTATTATTAAATGAGTAGTCTCATCTCTTCTCTCTATATCCACCTTTTGAAAAAAAATACTGATTTCGCAAAATGTATAACTTAAAGTTACTTTCGATTCGTATAATAAAAGTGCTGAAAATAGAACCATTTTATCAAGGATTCACATAATTGAATTTTGCTATGCATTGAAGTATTTTATAAGGATTTATATTCATATCCATTGATAATAAGATTTTTAAAAAACTCAATCAAGTGATCGAATTACCAATCAGAATCGTCATAAACTTTTTAGATATTATTGTTTTATATCCCAAAAATGAAAAATAATAGATATTATAAAATTTTTATTAAATCTTTAATAATGACAAAACAAATTAAAATTAATTTTACTGAGAATTTTGAGCAAAAATTGCTTATTTTTTAAAAGAATTAGGATAGAAAATAATAATTTTTCAATTCGAAATATTATTTTTATTCCGTCTCCAGGATAAATAAAACTTTTGCTATTTTTTGCCATCTAATATTCTTTTGTTCTTTCTTCACATTTAGATAAATTTAAATTAAGTTCTCTGGGAAACTAATATTGCATTATGTATGAAAAATTATCTATATAATATATTATTTTCAGTGAGATATTAAAAAAAAAATTCTTATTTTTTGCTGTTTTTAAAATATATTATTAATGTAAAATTGGAAAATAATGAGATTAAATAGTATAATATACGAATAACGAATTATATATGATTTTTTTTTTAAATCGTCTTACACATTAATATTAAAATTAGCACAAGTAATTTTTGCTAACCAAATTTTAGAATATTTTTTATCCAAATTATTAAAACAATATAAATATAAAGAAAATAAAGTCCGAATTTTTTTAAAAAACTAGTAGACCATCTTCATCAAATTATTTTTGTTTTTCCAATTATGCTTAATTAATTGCACTATTCGTTTAAGATAATGATCTATTTGGAAAAATTGGAAACAAATTAATTCATTTAAATTAAAATAGCCAATTAGTTAAGAAAAGTTAGACAAAAAATTTGTCGAAAAATAACTAATCTGGTGAAAAAAAGGTCAAATATTTTAAATAAATTTATTGTTCACATTAAACCTATAAAATTATTTTTTCAACTTTTTGTTTCTCATAGATTATTAATTTTTATTTATTTCAAAAATTTCCTCCTTTATATTTAGCATTTACTAATATATTTGCCCAAATTGATGTATGATCATTATTTTTAAATATATTCATGAATAAAATTTACAATGGGATTTCATCGATCATCTTGCACCTTCCAATATAAATAGAGAAAATTTAAAAAAATTAAATAACAAATCTGCTCTAGATTTTTAAATTTCCCAGTCCAACTTTCATATTTTAGCATTAGTTATTTTATCCAATTTTAGGTGTCATTTAAATTTTTTTATATAATATAATGAACTTAAAGACTTCAGCTTCAAAATATTCTCAATCATGCATCTCATCCGTCCCATTTAATGTAGGTGGCGGTGATGGCCACGTTAATACACAATTATCTCAACGTAATGGTTTATCCCTTATTTTATATCGTTGTTATAGTTCTTACAATTTAAGCGTGTAATGTATTTTAAATGTCAACCTGTAAATCTGAATTTGTAAGCTCTATTAGTTGTGTATTATGAATTCGTTGTTCATTTGTATGTATCATTTTCTCGTAAAATTATCTAAATTTAGACTTCACTTATTTGAACAAATATTTTATATATTAACGTTCAGTAATTCAATTTTATCCCTCAAAAATCTTATAATTTGTCAAATAAAAAGTCTATAAAGTGTGCAAATGCGTTTACCTATGGCCTTGTTTTATGTTAGGTGTACGAATATTAAAATTTCTTGTTTAAATATTAAGTAGGCTATGTCGATCCACTCGATTCTGTTATTTCATCAATTCTGGGAAAATGATCAGTGGAAATTTTAGGATAATTTATATATCGGCACAGCCCTAATAATAAGAATAACAATCTAATGCTAAATGCCATATTACCCAGGATAATCTAATAATATATTTTACTTAATTACAAAACTGAAGCCTGCCATATACACAAAACTTCTCTACCTTATAATAATGGTACTCCAGCATATGCTCCAACTTTAAAGAATGATCCTCGTTATTATAATTACGGCAGAAACGAAGCCCCTTGCTATAAATCAATCAATACTTTCGTTTCAGGACCTATGAAAGCGAGAAGTATCGAAAAAAACGGTTCGACGCGTAGGGGCTCTGACAATATCTTAATGCCTTTCAATAAACTTGACATTCTCAGACCCGCGGTTTCCCGTATAAAAATTTCTTTATGCATATTTTAAATGTTTTTCAGTTTTATTTAGATATTGCTTCTTTTAATATAAAATATTTTGTCACATATTTAACATGCTTGTTATTAATAAAATTCAAATTATAATATTTTTTAAATTTAGGTTTGTGTTAATAACTATTAAGTTCGTTATCTTTTATATATTTTTACTAAATATTAGCTCCGTAATATATTTCAGATAGCCCGAATCACTTTATAAAAAATTTAAGGTTAGAATTTTTTTAAATTTTATTTTCATTATTGAAAACCATTTTCATGGTATTTTTATTTTTTGCATTAATGTAGATATTTCGTATCTTTTTAAAATTGTTTTATATAATCAATCATATAATGATTTAAATTAATTTTACAGCCCTCATATTTTTGCGTCCTGAAAGCTGAACTATTTTTTTTTTAAATTCTCCGAAATGGAACCCCTATTTAATATTAGAATCACAGCTTTGATATTGTTTCATTATTTTAATACCACCTAGCTCTAACGTTTAATGTCTCTGAAACCTTCCCTCTCCCTTTAACTCGTAGAAGATCTTTGACGACGTGCAATAATGTATTTTACGATTACAATCCCCCAACTTACGATCCCTACTATAATTTTCCTCCCTTTCAAGTCCAGTATCCCGAAATTAATCGGTACGAAAGGCCCTTTTACCCCCAAAACGTTGCTTTAGCATATGAAAAAATTGATATGACTGGGGATCCTAGGCGTTATAATAGTACTCTTCCTAGAAATTTTGGTAGTTCGGGACCCGTCTCCTCTTTTACACGATACCCTCGTCAACAATTTATGGAAAGAAGGCGGGACGATTACCTATTGAATATTAATGGAGGAAACAGACAAAGAGTTAATGAATACGATAATTACGATAGCCTTAAGGATAATGAGTTGGAAACTATACAAAATTATCCGCCCCGTTTCGATGTGGAAAAAGATAGAGCGAACGAAGCGACAAGTACTTATTCTAGGACTAATTCAAAAGCCAATCATTTTGACAGGAGGAGAGCGGATATAAATCCTGATAAAAAGGTGCCCGTTTGGGTTCGGGCCCTCTTCAGCTACAATCCTAGTACAATGTCACCTAATGATCCCGAAGCAGCCAAAGTATTTAAGCAATATTATTTTATTATATCTGCATTCATTTAGATATACATGACTTATTCATATTCGAATATTTTTATCTAATAATATATATCCTATGATTTCATCCATTTTCATATTATATTAAAAACATATTTCTTTGCCCATCCCCCTAACTTTTGTATATAGGAGGAACTTTCTTTTCTTAATGGTCAATTAATAAGAGTTCTTTCCGCTCTAGACCCTGATGGATTTTTTTGGGGCTCGACTGATCCTATGTTTCCTATTTCTTCAATCTCCTCAGCTAGTTCCAATCAAGATGATCATTTTAATCCGGCTTCACTGAACCAAGAAGAACGCGAATTAATTGGCAAAATCGTGGGATTAGTTCCCATAAACATGGTGAGCTCACCTTTGAACCCAGCAGAATTAGGACAAGCCATAAGCTATGTGCCATTTTACCCAGATATTAAGGTTAGCCTACCAGTATCGGTCGATGTGTCACAAATCAAACAGCATAAGCCTTCATATCCTGGATCTAAGAGGAATAATATTTCGAACAGAAAAATGTCTAGTAGTCATGACAGAGATCATGACTTAAATTTGGAGGAAGGTAATCAAAGCGCTTTCTCATTTCTTTTATATATTCTTAAGATTTTTTCACGAAATTTTACATTTTATATATATATACATTTTTTAGTCGCATAGTGTCTTTTTCAAACACACAATGAATGACCTTTTGTATTTTCATAGTCTCCTTTCCGAACATTAATTAAATCCGGTTAGGACATAATATTTTTGATAAAAGTCACTATGTCTAAAACATGACCGGGCAACGGACAAAATGCCCGCCATTTAATTAAAAAATTTACCTTATTGAAATATTTCATTGTTAAAATATATTTATATTTTATTTATATTTAGAAACAATTTTTATATAGTCTTTAATATATTCTTAGTTTTAAATAGCTATTTTATATAATATAATGTATTTTATATAACGATAAAAACTATTAAATTATAAACAAAATAATTTCCTCTCAAATTCTCGCAATTTTTTTTTGCCAATTTTAGCGTATCCCTACCTATTTTTTTAAAAGTAATAGCAGACCTCGGCCTCAGATTTTAGAACTGAGCTTAACACAATTTAAACTAAAATATATTATATATAATTAGAGGACAACATTTTTGAATTTTAGCAAAAAAATTAGAAAAACTTCAGTAAAATAATTTTGAAATGAGAATATACTAAAATAATGGTCTGTTATAATTTTCTTTTAATTTAAAAGAAAATGTATGCGGACAAGAACTGTTTCTCCTAGTACCAAAAACTATAAATTTTTGATGTGATATCTATTTGAATTGGTTTTATTTATACTTTCATGGCAAAATTTATTGTTTTTCTATTATTATTATTTTAGTAAACGCCAGCAAAAACTCAAAAAATAAAGCAACGAAAAAAACTGATGAAGCTTCTTTCAAGCAAAGATCCAAAAACTCTGAGTACCCACCTTTTAGATCGGTAAAAGGAAGGACTTCTCAAAACGCATCACAACCTTTAGCAGTTACCGATAAAAATAAGTCATTAATTTTTTAAAAACTTTTTATAGATTCTATTAAGGCTGAGTAAAACAAGCCCAGTTTTGTTTTTGAATTGTATCTCTTTGTATATGATATGAATGTGAGCTTTCGGTTTTGAATTCTTCAAAAAATTACTGCTTTGTTGAATCTTATTCGTTTAAGAGAGCGTCGGTAATCTAAAAAAGTGATCCGGTTCTTAGATTTGACTTGGTTCCTAAAGTTCCGGTTACACTCTATAAATAGGTTTTGAAAATTTTTCTAACTAATAAATGAATAACAACATTTTGAACAATATAATATCGCCTTAATCACATAATATCATGTATTAGTTTATTTATTTTATATTTTTGTAATGTTTATTTATCATTTTTTCATTTTTTGGTAAATTTGAATAGACAAAAGAATAAAGGATTTGAAAATAAAATAAAGAATATATTGCAATTTCTATATTACGAACATAATATCCTTAATAGCAGGTCTTCGAATCGAACACAGAGTTGTTGAGCCAGGTTGACGGTATTTTTCGTGAGTATCTGAACCCCCTCCCCCTTCCTCCAACGATCGAACTCAGGCTAATTGTTTAAAATTTAATGAGGAAATGTTGGAAAAAATGCTTTATATTGATGAATAAATTCTCTCCAATATTATTGAATTTTATATATAATTATAAAGATAATCAATTATTTATGACATTATTAATTATTGCCTTAGTAAAGTTTCAATAAAATATTATATACCTAGTTAAAAATAGCCTTTTTACTTAAATTAAAAATTTTGACAGGCACTTTAAAAATTTGACTAACTCCTATGAACCTTCGAATCTATTTTGTTAATCTACCTTGAACCTAACCCGGGTCACGATTTTGATCTGGGTTTGAACCAAACTTGACCAAAATAATAGCGTGTTCGAAGCACTGTTAAAATTGACACTATTTTATTTTAAATGTTTCTGCCTGAAAATTTTGAAATGGCGTTTCAGTTCTAAGGTGGTTCTAAATTCTGCTCTATAATTTGATTTAATATTTTAGTAACTAGATAAAAACTCTATAAAATTTATTCTTTAAATTCGAAACTTAGTCCTATTTTTAAAATTATATCATTTAATCTGGTTGAAAATGTTAAACAATCTTATAACAGAGCGTTTAATATTCATTTACTACTACTCACTTCGAAAAAATTTGAAAATACAGCTAAATTATTCAAAATAACGAAATTTTAAAAATTTCGGGTCACGTCGTAAAATGTTAAAAATAACATCCGTTATGCCAATAAAATTTTGGGTTGATATTTAAAAATAAATAAAAAAATTCAAATCCAGGCCTGGCCTAAAATTAGGTCTAAACTTATATTATATAATTTTTCACAATGACACTCAAATTTAGGATATCATGATTAAATGTTGATCAAACTTTACCAATTAAATAGAAATTTTTCTCAAATAGTAATATTTCATCGGAAAGATTTTTTCAAACTCGGCATATTCAAGAGGGCGTGATAAAACGGAACATCGAAGGTGAAACTAGACTTCCCGATGACCGACCCTTAACATCAGAAGCTGTTCCGTCCTCTTTATCTCCTCTCAAGTCCAAAAGGATGATAGCTTTGTACGATTATGACCCCAAGGTTTTGTCACCAAATGTCGACGCCGATGTAAGTTTGTTTATTTTTTGTTTACTAACAATTTTTTTTGAAGATTATACTAATATTAATTTAATGCGATATAATAACTTGCTCTAACATTCTATCAATTGCATTAAAACATTTTATAAAAATCGTTAATTTTAATTTTTTTTATAAATTAGCTTGAAATATCTTTCAAAATTGGTGATATTATCATTGTGGAAGGCGATATGGATCCGGATGGTTTTTATATGGGATCCCTTGGTGGAGTTAAAGGATACGTTCCATCAAATTTCTTAAAAGTCTCAGTTAATTTATTTAATTGATTTATCTTCTTATTTGTTTAATGGCAACTAATTTAGGTTTATCTGGGTGGGTGTGGAATAACTGTACCTCGAATCCCCCTTTTTCATTTTCTGCTATCTTAAACATTTGTTAAAACGTATTTTTTTTTTCATATCTATCTTGACCACATTCATTTATATTGTTTTTGATTTTTTGCTCAACACAATACATCTCTCGGCCTTCTCATGGCATCATCTATCAATTATTTTCTTGCCCTTCATTCCCTCATAGATGCCTCACACTAGAATTCTGTAGAGCCGGTGGGGTGATCATCAATAAAATATATATCCGGCCCGTGGTCCGGAAAAATATTACTGGCACATTTCCTCCCTATTCTCCTTTTTTGTCTGAAATAAATATTATAAATAAAATGAATAAACATCAATAAAATATCAAAGTTAGAGTTTCAATTTAATTTAATGTATAACATTAAAATATATAAAATAAAGTTTGAGATATATTTTATTTCGTCACTGGCTGGGCCTAGAGTAAAAAAGAGTATAACCACCTGGTTTCGGGGTACCTTAAGCATCCATCAAATTATTATCATCTTCCTTTTTTTCACTTTTATTTATCATATTTCCCTACCATGGATCATATAACTTGTTACACACAGCGTATATAAACTCATCCCTTCAGAGACAAAAGGATAGCATTTCTTTAAACATCTTAAATCCGTGTTTAAACCCTTGTCATAATCGCAGAATCAACGTTCTCAGGTATCATTTATGCAACAAAACTTATTCACTTTCTCAAATATATCCCTATTTTTTATATCAAATTCGACTTATAGCCCTATAAACCAGCCCGATACCTCGCCTTGGACTTAATAAAGTAAAATAAGAAGTAATGTTTTTTTCCTTTATTAAAATAAAATTAAAACTTCCCTTGAATATGGAAAAATCAATTAGTTATTTTTTTTTATTTAAATTTATAAAATACGTTTAATTTGTATTTTTAATTAAAAATTCCCGATCGGAACAGGGCCCGTTGAAATTAATAAAAATCGTGTCGCTATGGCTGAAATTTAAAAAAAATTGATTGTAGGACTTTAATTAAGTAAGCCATCATCCTTGGACTTACTATCAATATTACTAGTACTGGAAATATCTGTCACCATTCATCTATGTTTGAGGAGCATTATCTAGTAATCTCGTGCAGCCTCCTGATAATACCCCTCCTTAATAAACTCTGCGAATATATAGTAAAGCTTCTTTTTCTCTACTTGATACTTTTGTATTGTATAATTGCGAAAATTGCGTTTGTCATACTTTCCCGAAAACCGAACTGCAGGTCAATTTTCATTTGATACCATGAGTGGCTCCTACAACGAGAAGAGGGGGTAAAAACCAACTGTTATAAAATTTGCATTGGGGGTACACACCTTTGAAGCAATTGCTTCAGGGAAATATTATTCAACCATCATGTGGGTATTTTTATTGGAAATACTTTTTTATTTTAAGATTATTACATATTTATTGTTTTACCTTTATAACCAAGAAAAATCCCGTTTCTTTATTGGTTATCAAAAAACTATTATATTAAACATGACAAATTTAAGAACATGTAATCCAAGAGGGAGTTTGGATACTCTTCTTGGTTTTGGGGATATATTCATTTATTCAATGTTTTAAATCCATTTCATCCTTAATCCTCATTTCTTTTCAATTTCAAACAATGCTCAGAAATGTTAACCAAAAAAAATATAAATGTTTAATAATGTTTAATGAATAATTGCACATCTCAAAATATGAAGGACGATAAATGGACACACCAGGCTCGAATCGTGATCACGATCTTTTCAAAAAATGGATCGAAATCCAGGATCCCTTTTTTAAAATAGGATCACGATCCTTTTATAAGTAACATTTTTATTAAGACATTTTTCCAAGTCTTATTTTATAAATTTCTGAAGAAAATTTATGCTCAATACAAATAAATTAAATATAGTGTAAATTTATTTTAATAGAATAATAATTTTGGAATGATATAACAACAATAACAATATAATTATTTATAATATCGTCGCATGATAATTAGGTTATTTTATATCCACTTTTTGTCAAAAATGACTTTTTTACATATCAAATTTTTGTAATTATACTAATCTAGTTACATAAAAAATCCAAAATATTTATAAAATAACTCAAATTAAATCATATATTAGGTTAACCATCTATTGAAAACAATAGAAACTTAATTTTTAAAACAACTGTAAAATTTTACAGTGAAGATAGAATATTCTAATTCTCAGGCAACCATATTCCAAATAAACCTTTAATAGTAAATTTTTCCTAAATTATTGTCATTCAAACACCTCCGTTCATTATGAATCTGAACAAGCGCTTGATAGCAAAGGTGTTATATTCAATATAAAAAAAAATTTAATTTACATAAGCGGTTTATTAATTAATCCATAGTTAAATTTAAAAAAAAATTATTAAGGGGATAAGCATTTCCCCAAGAATATTTCCAAAAAATTTCAATTTCATTCATACAGACATTTGAATTCATAATAGGGTTTAAAGAAAATTGATATTAGAAACAGATTTTAAAATTCGATCAGCTTTAAAATCCTGTCGGATCAGATCCCATTATGAATCCAGCCTTATTATTTTTTAAAACATTAAATTGTATTTTTATTATATATTTGAGTATGTAATTAAAAAGTGGGAGGGGAAATGGGTTAAATTTTATAGATATAGATGCTATTTGCTTTATAGGCTTGAGGGTATAGAAGCCACTTATTCTCTTCATGTTTACAGCATTCCACCTTTGATTCGCTACCAAACCGGATTACCAACAGAATGTCAGATCTTTTATAGCCGTCATGGATCTGGCCATCACGAGTTATAGTTCGTCCTTATTTATCATTTCTTTATGTCCTAGGAGGATAGGGGTTCCACGGGGTACTTTGGGATGTAGTCCTCCCATATTTTATAAGTGTCTTGGAGCGGTTTTTGCTACGAGTGAGTGATAATACTTTTATATATAATCTAAATTTTATAACTTTAATCACTTATTTACTTATTAAAGGTTGCAAAAAATATAAAAATTTTTTTTAAATAAAAGGAGCTTCCACCTTTGCCTGAAGATGATCCAGAACTACTTGAAATGCAACCTAAAATGAATCAAAGTTTTTAATATTTATATATAATTTATTTATTAATGATTTTGTTAATTTATTTCTCTTATTCATAGAGCGAACTAAATAGCAATTAGAGAATATTCTTTTTTATTGAACTACAACTGTGGGGATTGTTGAAACATATGCAAACAATTTTGATATGAATGGATTATAATTTATTAATTTTTTGCTGAGTTTTTTTATTGTAAATTTGCAATTAAAAACATTATTTATTAATAATTCTATAATTAAAATATATTAACTAGGGATGAAAAAAGACCTCTTTGTAAACAAAAACAAATATTTTTTTAAAATAAATTTAATTGTATTGCAAATTTTTCATTATCACAATCATTTTATAATTACTATTGTAATTTTCTTAAAATATTTAATTAATCTCTACATTTTTTTTGAATAAGAAAATTAATTTCATTGGTCCAACTCAAGGAATGCATTTTTAATCACATGACCTGTCAGATTTGACAAGTCATTAATAAAAATGAATAAACTTTATTAAAACTATTTTTTATATATTTTAACACTAGTCCATATCTCTCGAACTTTTAATTAACCCTAACCCATATCTCTCTAACCTTTAATCCTACAAATTTTTTTATTTTTAAATATATTTCATCCAATTAAAAAATTTCCTTGAATTGAAGATTTCTTGAGATGGTTTTATTATCTAATATAATATAAAAAAAATAAATCAAACAGAATATACTTTTCATTGTTCTTCCATCGTTGTTGGTGGCATTGTTTTTTGTTGTTTTTATGATTTATATTTTGAGTGTTTCAAAATATATTTAAACCTATTCTTTGTTTGAAAACACAATTTGTTTGTTTTTTTTATTTTTATATCCCTAATTAAAACTAAATCTTATTAAAGTGTTTTATATTATAATAATGTAAAAGATATCCAAATTAATTTACATCAAATCTATATAAATCAGATGCCAGTTTTCTATTATTATTTGACAGTTATCTCTTATTAATTGTGAGTTTTTTGTCATACTCATGACATATTGCGAAACTTTATAAATTTTTATCTTTTACTAATCGAAAAATTTCTCCTGACAATTTAAAATTACAATATTCATGGTTTGACAATTTTCTACTTACAATTGATTTCTTTTTATTGAATAGAAAATCGAAGTATAATGTGAACTATTAGAGAAATTGGAAAAATTTTAAATGAAATTAAAATAATATAAGGTTTTATATAGTTTTTTGCATACGACATGCATACAATGTTAATTCATTTATTTAAATAAAATTGTTTATCAAAATGGAATTACAAAATCGCAATTACTGGCTATGTTAAAAATATATTTAGAAGTAATTGGACTTGTTATAACTTTCAATTGGGTAAAATCAACATCGTTAGAGGATATCGGTATTACAAATATTTTCGCATCTATAAAAAAAAATAAGATAGAAATGTTAATTGTTACTTGTAAAAGAAGTTTAAAAAAATTATTATTATATGAATTCGCAATTATTTTTGTAATATACACAGTAAGGATATGCAAAATTAGAGTTTGGGCTTATACACAAAGTGGCTTGAACATTTATAAATATAAATAACAGTTATAATATTCTTTATACCTATTATTTTTCTATCATATGACCTATATTGCCTGTATATTTTACTATCACATTTTCTCATTTCATTCCTACCATTAAAGCTATCCATTGTATTAAATATTTATCTTCATCTTCCCTTGCCTTAAAATCAGGTATCTTTCCTTGCTCCCAATTTTTAATACCTCCAAATCAATAAACATATTTTTTAGTGGCCTGACTTCTTTTAGCTTTTCTTCTAAACATAAGTTCAATAAAATCATTTAGATCACCATAAATTTTATTTTCTTTCCTACTAAATTTTATTTTTTTAACCTCTTTTTTTAGTCCATTTTAAAATTTACTTTCAATTTTAATATAATCCACGAGCTCAAAGTTACTATACCCAGTACCTTTACATAAATATCAAACTAAACTATGAACCAAATAATATTAAAATGTTCTATAATGGACAAAAGGTATCTTCTATCAGTGCAGTTCTTCAAACAATTAAGTTAAATACTTATATAGTTTTATTATACATATTTGATTTGATATTCTTAACATAGATTACTTTTATATTTACTAGAATGATAAAACAAGAATTAAATTAGGATGATAAAACAAGAATTAAATTAGATAAAAACGAAAATATTTTTAAAATAATAAAAAAATAAAAAGATGGGTCTTTTTATTTGGTACCACAGTCTCAGCCGGTCTATTTCAGACATCCATGGACCGTGACCTTCAATAATAAATGTTTTAGAGTTCCTGAATTTCGCTACTTATTCATATACAGTAGTGTTGACTAACTAATAGTTTTAGTCGAACAATTCGACTAAAAACTTTAACGACTAAATTAGTCGATTAGTCGACTAAAAACGACTAATTTAGTCGACTAATCAGAGAAGATAAACAAAAAGAAGTAAAGTGAGAATTTGTCATTAAAATAACTATATGAGTTATATTATAAGTTATTTTTAATATATTTTTTTTTGAATTTCTTTTTCTTTGAAGGAACAGGTTAAAATTTTAAATTGTTATTTTTGAACTTTTTTAAAATTATTTTAAAGCAAGGTATAAATATATATTGTAAACATGTTATATTAAAATTTCAGTGAAGATGTACCATAGAAAAGTGACAATTCTCATTATCGTCATTTAAGTTTTTTTGAAATTTTTTTAAGCAAATGGGTAAAAATATATATTGTAAACATGTTTTATTTAAATTTTAGTGAAGATGTACCATAGAAATTTATTTAAATTTCAGTGAAGATGTACCATAGAAAAGTGATGGAAGATTTTTCAGTGAAGATGTACCGTAGAAAAGTGATGGAAGATTTTTCAATTAAATGTCATAATAAAAATTTAAAAATCTCATTATTTCATATTTTAATTTTCATCCTCCTTTTAGGGTTGAATTTACCATTTTCACTCGGGTTTTAAAATTTTTGTAGCAACACCAAACATTGACAATTGTTATAAATAATAATTTTATAAATATTTAATTACTTATATCACTTCTAGCAAAATCCGCTGATTTTTTAGGGTTGATCTTAGAATTACCATTTGTTATGATAAACATAAGCTTCATCGCCTTCTGTCTACCGCCACCTTTGAGCATTCTCCTTGCCACATTGATTACTCTATCTGTCCTTACGCCTGTTCATTATATAAAAAAAATTAAATGTATAAATGTGTTTTAAAAATTTCTTAAATTTAAATGATATATTTTTTTAAAAATTTCTTAAATTTAAATGATATATTATAAGGTTGAAATTTTACCAGGTACGGGAGCTGTTGAATCAGCTAACGCAGATAAAACTTTTTCTAGATTATTGCCCTCATACAGTTTTAATGATATGATTGGCTCGGATGAAAATTTTATTATTCCTACCCTTGTCCCATTTTTATTTATAGGCTGAACTGCATTTATTAGCTTAGTCAATTCCTATCAGATATTTTAAATAGAATGCTATTTTTAGGAAAAATCATCTATTTTATACATATATTATGATAAAGTTTTTAAAAACGAATCAAATAAAAACTTAAGGTATAGTTTACACTCTAGTAAATTGTCAAAATTTATGCTGTTTTATCAAGATTTATATAGTAAAAAAACAAATTGGGATGAATTTCTAACTAGATTTACCAAAAGTGAGGAAAATGAAAGATTAATGTATAATAGCTGACAAATATTAAGGGCTACTAGTCCAAACTAAATTTTTAAATATGTCGAATGGTATTAAGGAATTTGTTTAATCCGAATTCAATTCCTATTTTCTAATATAAAATAATTCGTATTTGTAGAAACAATAACATTCGATTTGATTCGTCAAATATTCGATTCGAAAATTAAATTCTTTAAAAATATTTTCAAAAATGAAAAAATGTATTATTAGAATTTCAAAAGTGATTTATAGATGTGAAAAAAAATAAAGAGTTCCGCAAGGAAATGCAATAAATATAAATAATTTCATATTTAATTAATAATTTTTAATATTTATGAATCATTTCAAATATTTACAAGTTCTTTTAAACATTATAAATAATTTTAAATTAATACGAATAATAAATAAAAAATTATTCGACAAATAATATATTTTATATTAGAATCGAATATATTGTTATGTTTTAGGTATAATACAATAGGAATCATTTGTCAAATTTTTTTAATATGTTTATAAATATTTCAAAATTTGTGAAAAAAATTAATGAAATAGCATAATGCTTACTTTTTAATTAAGAAAAACTTTAGGGGTTGGGTAAAAAATAACTTATAATATTATATTTAAAATAACTAAAAATCTATTAATTTAAATAAAAATAAATATTGGCAGTATCAACCCAACAGTTATAATCGGTACTAAAATTACAAAATTTTTAAGCCCAGCCCGGTTATTATTTAATCTTTGCTGGGTCTTGTTCGAATTTTATTAAGATTGCCTCCCCAGAAATATCCTAATAATGAGGATTTAGGTTTCATGATTTTTATAGCAATAAACATAAAAGTTTAAAAAAATATTTATTGAATAAATAATCATAGTTAGCAGATTCTTAATCTTTAAAATTATAGGCATTAGAAGATTTTTATCGATTCTCTATTGAGCATGCCATGCATCTAATCTTTTCATGCCCGGCCCTATAATATTTTTGCCCGACCCAAGGCATTCTAGATCTCTAATGGGTACTCGATTTGAGCCAATTTTTAAAAACAGCTAACTCAATGGTTTAGCCAGAAATATATTGTATAAGCCTCGAGATTTCGTTAATAGGTGTTCAAACCTTTGTGTCACCTATGAGCAAAATCTTAAGATTTGCATAATAATTTTCCTAATAAAATATAGAGTTAGTCGTTTTTTTAAAATCGGCTCAAAATGAGCCGTTTAACAACACTACTAATGGGTATATCTTTGCTCTAGGTATCATTAAATATATAAAAAAAATTCATTTTAAATGAAATCCCATTCTTCTAGTGTGAAATTGAATTCCATTAATAAACATTTTATTTCATTCTGGTTACATGTTAGTAGAACGAAAATCTAAAAGCAGTGAATACATTATCGCGTATGCATACTGCGCATGCATTACAGTGAATATATAACCGCTAATGCATTCCCTCTTATTTATTAAAGAAAGATTGTATTTCTTCGAATATATTGCGAATTAAGGATTTGAAATGATATTTTTAAGATAAAATTGGCCATGCATATTTAAGGGGCCCATTTTGGGTATGAAATACAGGGTTTCCCGTTCAAAAAAGCAAAAGTGTCAATGATAAAAGGAAAAGGTTCAATCAAAAAGGAAGATCCGATCAAAAAAGGAAAAGTGTCGATTAAAAGAGAAAAATTTCCTAAAATGAAAGGAAAAGTATAATTCAAAAAAGAAAGATCGTTATTTTTTCAAATAGTTTTTATTTTTTTTATTATTCCTTCTTATTTTATTTCTAACTTTTTGCGATTTCTTTAAGTCATTTAATCTTTTCCTAATTTATTTTTCTTCTCAATTTTGATAATTCATTTTTGTCACTTTAAAAATAATTATAAATTTTCCCTGTTATTTTTCTTCACTTCCTACTCCATTTTTTTAACAATTCTTTTCGCTTTTTTCATCCTACATAATAACATTTTGACTTTTTATGATTTTTTCTCCTTATATGTTAACTTTTACATATTTCTAACTTTTTCAATCTCTTAAGTCATATTTTTATTTTTCTGTTCTTTTCTCAATTTTTTTTCCTCATTCTTTTTAATTATTTTTAATTTTCACTTAATTTTGATTTCTCATTGGCAGACCTTATTTTGATTAGAAATTTTTGCATAATTTAATTACAATCATGATAATATAGTAAGAAACAAAAATTTATATTAATAATTTCTCTTCTACATTTTGCAATATAAGTAACCATATTTCTAAAATAATTATTTACATCCTCTCAGATATTCCTTTCTTTTCCATGCTCTATAAAACGAATTAATCTCAGTATGACTAAATAATACTGCATTGCTAAAAATCAAATTAATATTATATAATCTTTTTTTTAAATTAATTTTCATAAACATTTTCAATATTAAATAATTTCAATTCTATTTTTACAATATTAATGAAAAAAAAATCTATTTACTAGTTTATTACAACTCAAGTTTTTTTTTCAATTTTAAAATTTAACAAATATATATTCTTAAGAGGGCGTTAAATGCATAAACATGAAAATATCATCTTAGGAAACCAGAATGAATATTGATTAGCGCTTTTTTTATATTTGGGTGTAAAATAGATGTGAAAAACATAAAATTTTAAAAAAATATATAGGTTTTCTTTGACATTTAATTTATGAATAGGTTTAGAATCGAAAAATAAGAAAACTTGTAAGAAACATATTGCTGGTGTTATTGATCAAAATCTCTTTATTTTTGATTTATAAGTGTATATTTAGGTGTTAAGCATTATCCTAAAAAATTTTATGATTTGACAGAATGCCTAGCTCAAAACGACCACTTATTTGATATTCGAGTGATTAAATTTGCTAATAATATCAATTATAAAATGTTCATTTTTGTTTTATTTATCTATATACGTGTAAATATTATCCCAATTAATAATATTGTGATTTGACCGATAACCGATTTGAAAAGGAAATACGCTGGCGTTATCCATGGAAAATTCTTCATATTTGGTTTATACGTGTACATTTAGGTGCAAAGCATTATCCTAAAAAATATTTTGAAATGATTTGACCAATTGCCGAGTTCAAATCCGACCACTTACTAAATATTCGATTGATCAAATTTGGTTAGTAATATCAATTTAATATTGTTAATTTTTGTTTTATATATCTATAAATACGTGTAAAACATTATCCCAAAATAAATTTTAAAAATATCGTGATTTGACCGATAACCGATTAATCCAACTCAATGACTAAATACTGCATTGCTGGCGTTATCCATGGAAAATTCTTTATTTTTGGTTTGGTTTACATACGTGCATTTACGTGGTGAGCACTATCTTAAAATATATTTTGAAAATATTATGATTTGACCTCAATTGATATTAATAGCAACTATGGTCAATCGAATGTTTAGTAAGGGATCGGTTTTGAGCTCGGCATTCGGTCAAATCATAATATTTTTAAAATATTTTTAGTACAATGCTTAACACCTAAAAATCCACTTATAAACCAAAAATAAAGAATTTTCCATGGATAAAGCTAGCAATGCAGTATTTCAATTTAAAATCGGTTATCGGTCAAATTATGATATTTTTAAAATATTTTTTGGGATAATGTTTTACACATAGTTATAAATAAATAAAACAAAAATGAACTTTATTAAATAGATAATAAACAAATTTGGTCACTCGAATATTTAGTAAGTGGTCGGTTTTGAGCTCGGCATTCGGTTGAATCATAATATTTCAAAATATTTTTTATGATAATGCTTAACACCTAAATATACATGTATAAAACATAAATGAAGAGACTTTGACCAATAACACCAGCAATATGTTCCTTACAAGTTTTCTATTATTTTTCTATTCTTAACCTACTCATAATTTAAATTTCAAAAAAACTATCTTTTTTTTTTAAATTTTAGGTTTTTACATGTATTTACACCCAGATATAAAGATAAATATATTTAAAAAAATAATATAACAATTAAAATATATTATCTCAAATAATATTTAAAAAAATACACAAAAAATAAAAAAAATTTAGCGATCAAAAGATATATCAAGAAAAAATTCATGTAAAAAATAAATATATAAAAAATCATTTTAGAAATATATATTAAAAATCAATTAAAAAATATATTTAAAAAAATAATATAACAAATGAAAATATATTATATCAAAAAATAGGGTAGGTCTATAAGTCGAAAAGAGGTCCGTGAAGTTGGCCCCACAATTTTTGATTTTCTTTATCAGTTGGTGTGATTATTACCCAATTTGTACCGTTTTCCGTTCGATTTGTATCATCACCATTTTTAAGATATTCAAAAAACAAAATGGGGGGGGGGGCAACTTCACGACAGCCCCCCAACTTTTGAACCTAAAAATAAAAAGTGAATAGGTCGATAGAGAATGATTTGTACCGTTTTCAGTTCGATTTGTACCACCACCGTTTTCCAGCTATTGACCGTTGAAAATACGGCGCCAAAAATAAAAGAATTTTTTTCTCTTCCTAATGATGCCTCAAATTAAGCTTTATCTTCATTATTTATTTCGGAAATTAAATTTTAAACTTTATATTATAGCGTGAAGTTAGCCCCCCCCCCCTGATATTCAAAATTTTTCAAATTTTAAAAACGGGATTGATTTGTACCGTTTCAAACTCGATTTGTACTATTACCGTTTTCCAGCTATTGACCGTTAAAGATATGGC